CCCCCCCCCCCCCCCCCCCACCCCCCCACTCCCTCAGACACACACTTACAGCTTACAACACTCTTATCTGACTTCAACACCTCTTGTCGATTGGCACACCCATCACAGCAGAGCAGGGTTGTCTGATAGATATGACATCTTGAGTGCTTAAAAAGGAAAATAAGAACAGCAGCTAACGTAATACAAGTCAACGTGAGAGTTCGAGGCTCAGTGCTGTGCATAAAGTCCACATTTGAACCAAGAGAAATTCATAAGCATGTAGTCCACTTTTTCCTTCCAAAAGTTATGCTTGTTCCCTTGTTGTTCAGTTTCTCTTCCCTGACATTCAAGCTCAGGCAGGAGTTTCGGTGTGGTCAGACCCCGAAACCATCAGTCCTCTTGAGCCAACAGTCAGGAAGGGGTTGGGGAACAAAGGTAACACCCTGAAACTGGCTGTAGATCTGCAAGGAAGCACCCGATGCTGCAAAGTTTTGTTTACCTGCATTGTTCTACATTGTTCACCTCCTCCCCAGAACATCTCTGGGGCCCCGGCTGTAGTCACACCTTTGTAGCCAGAGACTGAGCCTCTGTCTTCTGTGAGGACAGGGAGCTGGGTGGGCTGGTGTGCAAGAACTTTTTCAGGTTGAGCAGGGACAGACACTGAGATCTGAAGCGCAGGTCAAAGAAAGCATAAAGGAAGGGGTTGAGGCAGCTGTTGACATAGGCCAGGCAAGTGGCGTAGGGGTGAGCCAGCAGCAGGAAACGCAGGAAGTCACAGGTGGTGGGGAACAGGTCCAGGTAAGACAGGGCGTCGACGCTCTTCAGAACGTGGAAGGGAATCCAGCATGCGGCAAACACCACCACCAACGTGGTGATGATCTTCAGCAGCCTCCTCTTGCGCTGGTCTTCTTTTCGCAGGGTGTTGAAGTGGCGAGTGACCGTGCAGCCGATGAAGCAGTAGCACACCATCATTGCCAAGAATGGCAGGAGGAAGCCCAGAGCCGAAGAGGAGATGCTGAGGCCGGCGATCCACAGGTTCTCCTGCCCCTTGCTCGTCACCACCAGGCTGAAGTCCATGGCACAGGAGGTACGATTGGTTTCTAAGTCATATCTGATGGTTCGAAAGACGAGAGTCGGGGCGGCCAGCAGACCAGAGAGCAGCCAGATGGCTGTCAGGGAGCCTTGCATGTGACCACGGGTGCGCAGTTGGGTGCTGGACAAGGAGTGGACGATGGCAAGATAGCGGTCGAAGCTCATGCAGGTGAGGCAGAAGACGCTGGCATACATGTTGAGGAGCACCACGTAGCTGCTGATCTTACACAGAGCCTCTCCAAAGGGCCAGTGGTAGCCCATGGCCGTGTAAACAGCCCACAGGGGCAGAGTGACCACAAACGTGAGGTCAGCCAGGGCCAGATTGCCGATGTAGACGTCAGCAGCTCGTCGCTTGCCCTGGGCTCGCCACACGGTGAAGATGACCACGCCATTTCCAGAGAGGCCCAGGATGAAAATAAGCATGTAAAGCACCGGGATGACAGAGTATGACGGAGTCCACTCTGAATAGTCACACATGCTGGAGTTCTCTGACTCGTCATAGTCGTAATACTCATACGGACTCCCAGTTGGCTCCATCTCCACTCCTGCTCTGTTCCTCTTATCCTCAATCTGAAGAAAACGGTGAAAATGTCAGTTGTAAGTTCTTTGAGGCAGATAGATCCACAGCAGAGCACAACACTGTATAGTCTGTTGCTATGTGGGAAATCTCCGCACCCTTATATACCCACATGCAGCCTCCCATGAAGACCCCTCCTCCCCTCTCACTGCCCTCCTCCTCTCTCCACTGCACACACAGGCACTTGTCTCCATTCATTTGATTGCTACACGATAATAAGTACACAGCAAACTGGTTTTAAACTGTTTAAAGCGTTTCTATTATGAATATATGTCTTAAAGAAAACAGCTTAATGTTTTAAGATGCAATTAAATGGAATGCTGATACAGTTTATAATGAAAACTATTATTAGAAGGAAATGCATGGTTGGTGAGAGACTTGGGTCTTACGCCTGGACAAGTTTCATGAAGTATTTCCAATACCAATTGACAGTCGTACAGGCACCAGAGCACCCTCATTCAGTAAAAGAGAATATTCAAATGTCCTTAAGTACTTTCTGTTTTTTTGCCTGTACATGTTGAAATGTAGAGCCACAAAATGAAAATAAAAATGGCCAAAATGAGTAATGAAATTGATTAAACTGTATTTTCTTTCTTTTTCTTTTTTGTTGTAACAATACCCCAGTGTAGATGAATCAACTTTAAGGTAGATGTTGACAGTTCAAAGGGAAAACATGAACCCTGGACCCCCACAGGGAAGGATTCTGTCATGCTGTGCTGCGTTTTGGAAGCATGGTTTTGTTCCTCCATTCCAAAAGCAAAATCTCTCTGCAAATCAACACACAGTTGTTCTGTGTGAGCACCTTTTTCCTATGATGAAACATTTAGGATGACTGTTGTCTCTTCCATGATGACTCACTCACAAGACACAGACTTTTAATGAGTTTTAACAGAATTGAATTCATCATCAAATAACTAAATATGTGTAAATATCCTGAAGGCATGATGTTCAGACCTTCAGGGGGAGTTCCAGGGGAGCACATTAGGCAGACAGAAGCTCCGCACTTTACTTAGACCTTTTCATTTCTTTTTTATTCGTTATCCCCAGTGGGCACTTGAAGTTCCTACATCTTATGCTACTTTTTGAAAAGTCTGCCATTCTCACCCATGTGTCTGTACCAACACCTTAATTATGAAAAAGCTTTCTTTTGTGCTTTTTATTCACCTTGAATGCCCCAGACAGACTCTTAAATCCAAAGCATAATGCGAGTTTATAAAGCAACATACACGAGTTTAAAATAGAAATAATAAAAAACTTCATAGACCAGTCTGTATCTTTTCTGTTTGTTGATGAAAAAAAATTATCGCTGGTATTTTGAAGGTGTTTTCCTGCCTGTTTTATTTGTTAATTTTTTCCAGGATTGTCTTTAATTGCAACTTTTATTGGGATTTTTTTTACGCTTAATTAATTATGCTTAATCATTATTATAACCAAAGTCATGTCAGCTAATTATTTAGAATGATCCAAATTCAAAGCTTCCTACAAAAACAAAAATTCTCCTTGTTTCCCTGTTGTGTTCTCTGGCCCAGGTGGCACTTTTCAAACTTCAGCCAGCTTTCAACAGAGTGCCTGCAGTGGCGCCGGGGCACCGACCTTTAGACACAACTACTGTATCACTCAGCGATCTTCCTCATCACAACCCTCCCCCAAACTCTCCATCCTCCTCCTCTGGCCTCTTAATGGACCTCCTCTTCTTACGACGATGAGGATTTATTCCCGTCTCCTCTGCTTTCACCAACGTCATTTACCCTCGAGAACTGTTGTTGTTGCCAGTTATTGTGATGTGGGTTTGCGGTATCTGATAATTAAACTGGTGTGATTGTGTTTTCGTGACTCCACCCAAACCCTGGACTCGGACGATCGGCTGAATAATCCGTCTCGCTCTTTGTCTACTGGCTACTGCTGCAGGACGTTGGGCAGAACAGGAAAAAAGCTAAGTAAAGTGATTCAAAGCGGGCTTCCTATCTGTGCTCTGCTGGGACAAAGATCTGTTTTTAGCTGTGCTCAGTGACAGGGATGTGAATATATGGATAAAACACCGGGCTTTGATGAGTGATCCACCCACTCATGTTTCCCACACTCTGACTGTCAGCTGCAGAGCTCTTTTAAAAAGACATCATAAAAAAATGTCCATTATTCTTAAGGACATTGCTCTCTCAGAGTGACAACTTCCAGTTGGACTGAGCGGGAACGGTCTTGCGGCGTCCATCACCTCCCTCAGCATGCCGGGCGATCCTGTTTCCACAGCATTCTGCCCCTGTTTTTCCTCCTAATTACCCACCTGTGTCTCCTATCAATTGTTGTTGATGTTGTCCTCTCGTGTGTGGCCTTGCGTTGTAAACCACACACAATGCAGATGCTGAGATGGACCTCACGTTTTACACTTGAATCCGACACACCAGTTCATTTCCCTGTTTCATTTCGCTGCCATACGCGAGCAAAGACTCCCTTTGAAGCTGCATATCAGGGGGAGAGGTCAGGAGGTGCGCTGGTTTATCAAACTAGGAAAGTCTCTGCAGGGTTTGGATGTCTTATCACCACTTTGCATATTTGGGTGTTTATGAGCTTGGTTTTGGTGATACTTGCAGCACCCCCAGGAGTATGAAGTGGGTGCTTTTGTTGTTTGCGTGTGTGTGAGGGTTGGAGGGGGTCTGACAGTTGTTTGATGTGCACGTTAAGTTGTCAGACCACATGCCCGGCGGGGAGACAGCTGGGCCCCTCCGGGCTTAACCTGTGAATCAGCTAACTCTGTGTCAGACTTGAATTTATCTCAAAATTCATGACATCACACGTCTCACGCAAACACGTTAGAGATGCCAAACAGCTCTAATCATACAAGGATCCTTGGGCAAATATTTGGCAATCAGCACCAGTCATATTGCAAACACATCAATAGGCTGTTATTCCTTTTTCATTAAGAGATCCCGTCAAGCCTAACACCTCCCACAGACCCAGTAAGCTCAACCATTTGGGCACCATTACCCGTTTTATTATCTTCCCTTCCAAACTCTTGCCACAGCACCGATAAGGTGGTTGACACCAACCTGTTAGACACACTAGCCTCCAGGCTGAGTGAGTTTTGTTCTTTTTCAGGCTCAGCATCACACAGCTTTTGGGGGAGTTTTAAACTTTTGTCGCCAGAGCTTTTGGTTTTGGTTCAGAAAAACTGTCTGAGATTGAAGAAGTGCAACATCTAGTTGCAAACTCTGGAGGACCTAAACTTTCAGAAGATGCAGTCTAATCCTTATCCTTTTTATTTCAGGAAAAGCTGCCAAATTCACAAAGCATACTAAATTCATAGGTTTTTTCCTCCACCTCCTCTCCCAGGATTTGTTCTCTCACAGTATTATAATATAACTTGTGTAAAAACTCTGGAGAAATCAAACAAGACATTTCTTTGGGATCCTGGAGCTGACATCATCTGGACCATTGGTTTGTGTCTGATTCAGTGTCTGGAGCTGTTTTCAGCATCTGCCTGCTGGAGACAGACGGGCTGGAGCGGGAGTCAGAGGGTGTTTCAGTTGGTGAGCTTGTGTTAAGATCCGTGACTGAGGTGCAAGGTGAGACGGAAAAGGTGTGTGTCTCTGAGGGTGCGATGTCTTCGTAACTGGGGGAAGGGAGAAAAATACAGAGAACTTCTCTGAGCTGAACACGTTGGAAGACACTTAATTGGCTCCAAATCCTCCCATCTGTCTTATCTCCCCTGCCCCTGAAGTCTGTGATCTTTATCAAACACCTTATCTCGCTGGAGCTCACTCTCAAACTTTTTGCTGTCAAATTATTTTCATAAATTTTTTTTAAAAAAAAGCCAATTTGAGGTAATTAATGTGAACGGGTTCGACTGATGGCAAAGGTCCCTACAAAAATCCCACTGAGAGCAAGTTTCCATTTAATTGGAAGTGTGTTTTTGGGACCTCCTTTTTTTAATTGGAGGTATTCCAAGGCACGTGCACTGCTGGCTACAGTTTTTGAGTTGCAAGAAAACAAGTTGGGGGGGGGCATGGGTCCTTGCAGTCTGGCAAAGATCCACGGAAAACATTATGTCACAGGCATGTGCAGAAACTATTAATTAACCTTTAGAATTTAGTCAGGGCAGGCTAGTTATAGACTTGATGTAAGCATTAATTTACAAGCATGATTCTAGTAGATGTGCACTTTCATTTACACCATGGTAAAGAAAAGATTTGATTTAGTGGGGAAAGAATGTTGTTCCTGCATGAAAACCTATTAATAAGAATGTAGATGTTCTTAATTGCTTGAGTTTCAGCCCCAGGGCTGAGTTTCTACAGTGTGTGAAAGTGTGCGGTATCAGTGGACTTTCATTATCCTGTTCAGCATGTGTGTAAGACGTCACGAGGAGTTTATATTATCTCGGCACTCCATTGCCCCCCGCTGCATGGCATCTTATTCAAACAGGAGCCGCAGCAGCTACTGTCAACGACCTGCGAACGTCCTGCAGGTCCTGTTTGCGGGTCAGCTAACCGGGAGAGTCTGTTGATACAATCCTTCCTGTTTTCAAAACAATGTTTTCTTCTGAGCCAAGTCAATAATATTTACCAAATATTTTCATAGCTAAAGCAGAGGGAAATACGTTTTTATGAAATGTTATAAATAGCTCTGATGCGCAGTGAAAATGGAGCTTTTACAGCGAGGCGGGGCGCCGCCTCGTCTCTTAAGCAATGCAGCCAAGATCAGTTTTAATCAGGGCCCGCAAAAGGGGAAACTTAAGTCAGAGGAGGATGAAGCAGAGAGATAGCTGCTCACAAGTCATGACAGATTTATTTAGTTTCTTACTCAAAGTTATCAGTGTTTGTGTCTTCTTCGTGTATGTCACTGGATAAAAATCAATTAGGGCCTTTATTTGCTAGGTGATGTGAGCTGACTCAGATCAGACTCTCAGGTTACAACACCTGACACATTCTACATGTAAAGGAAGAAAATAACCAGTGTCAGCAAAGGC